CCCCCTCCCCGGCCCACCTAACCTATAATCCTAAGCCCTAACTTAAAATTCAATCAAGATCCGTGTTTACAGTAATAAATGCATTAATAAATTTACGTGGTATTTCCACAAACAAAAAGCATTCATCATCCAATTCTTATCGAGAAATAGATTGACAAGAATGAATTGACATTTAAAAAATTGTTATTTTATCGCATGCATGGTTGATAATTATAGGAATATTTTGTCCTTTTACTTGGATGGTGAAAAGATTGAGAAACATAGTTATGCAGTTTAAAACATTTTGTCATTTGATTGATTGTTAATTTGCAGGAAAAGAATTTCCATATTTAATTCAAATTGCTTTGAAACTTGCTTAATTATCATTCATATATATGTTAACTATTGTAAGATGCAAGTTAACGTAGGTCAAAGCTGTCTTGACTAAATCATTGGGTGTATATAGCAAGCAATTGTTGTTATGGAAGTGCATTGAACACCCTATTAACCAGAATACCAGACAACATGTTATATAAAAGCAAAAAAGTTAAGTAAATTTCAACCTCGTGTTTCCAACTGCAAATTTATCAATTATGTTTTCAATATCTGGGACATCTTGATGAATCTCCATCATGGCTAGACCGTTTAACCGTTCTTCAACCATTGTACTATGCTGGTAGTTCTTAAGTGTCCTCAATGCTGAAATGGTTCTTTCACACTCACAATTAGTGATGGGAAGTGTTCCTAAAAATACGGAGAATAACTTTGATATTTTCAAAACCATCAAAACTGACAGCTTTTAGAGTTGTGGCTGTGCTTTCCCTGACATTTGGGAAAGTAAAGATGTCAGTATAGGGAAGGTACAATGAATGCAGGCTCATTTCCCCACCTAAACCCTGTCCAGCATGACGTTTCAAAGTATACGCTGCACCACTCCAACAGCGAAGAGGCTGAGAAAAGAAATTATGAATTTTGCTACATTTACCAGGAAAGCGATCTCCAAACAGAACGCATGACAAGCAGAATGCACCATCTTGAGAAGGTGAATAACAAAGCCATGAATGTAATTCTAGCCAATCATACCTGAAGCTTCTGCCACTAGTCTTGGGAAATGAATATTTTTTGTCAGGTTTAAACACATTTTGGATAACATTGCAAATCTCAGATGAGCTCATTCCCTTAACCATCTCCCTGTACATTGCAACATCAAAATTAGTAACATGTGATTTTACCTATTTCGCAATGGGTGTCTCACCTGATTCTAAAACATTGCTTTTCGTGTTAGTTGAAGTACTAGCTTTACTTAGGTATAGTTTGCTATTATCAAGGGAGGGGGGGGGGAATGACTCGCTTTGGGCCATATGAGATTTTGGCTTTAAAACAGATTTCTCTGCCACATTAAAAAAATTAGCAATATTTGAGTCTTTTTTCGGAAGAATTGGAGAAATTTTTTGCTTCTTGTTGGATGCTTGGGAAGAAACAGCTACATGTTTTCTTTTAAGCTGCTGTGTATGAAAAAGAAGAGGAACAAAATGATTCGACTGGAACGTTGTTTCAGCAGTTACAGTACCTTCATAACAAAATAGAATATGAAGATCATCCAAACCTTTCTTTGGAGTTAAGCGTGGTCGAATCATGCGATTAAGTAACAATTTATACCTATGAGCCCCACAATCAGGATAATAACTAATAGTCCTATTTAAAACAGAAGGGAGATGCAATATGCAGAGAAATGATGACCACTTCTTCTCACTGCAATTACGAATGGCCTCCTGTCTAACCAAGTCGGCTTTAGTGCAACCTGTGTCTAAACACTCCTTAGTAACAGACATGGGTAAAAGATTATTACAGGTAAACTATGTGAAGCGTTCCTCTTTTGAGTTTCTAAATTGATTGCAATTTTCCTCATTACTTTTGCAATTTAAAAAACTCCCTTGCAAATCCCTTGAGGGAATTTGCAATGTTGCAAAGGCAAAAAAAATTTCCTCAGTTCCTGTTAGAAGTTCTTAACTTCCTGTTACAAGTTCCTAACTTCCTGTTCTGTTCTGGGCGTTGCAATTGGCTAACAAAAATAATCCACTAATAACAACGCTCAGAACAGAACAGGAAGTTAGGAAATTAAAACAGGAAGTTAGGAAAATTTAAAATGAAGTTTGGAATATTGCAACAACCGATAGGAACATTGCAAATTCCCTCAAGGGATTTGCAAAGAGCTTTTCAAATTTGCAAAGCTAATGAGGAAAATTCCAAATGAGTTACGAAGTCAAAAGAGGAATGCTTCACGTAGTTTACCTTAATACTTTTGCTGAAGTACTCAGCATGCTCACTTACAGCAGAAGAAAAGCAAGGGTGCTGAGAATAAAATTCAGCATTAGCAAAAAGCTCTATTGATGTCAAGATTCTCAACGGTTCCATTAGACTATTGTTACCTACTTGTACCAAGGATGCAGAGCTATACAAGCAATTTCCAGTAACATCAGATCTAAGATAGAAAACATTAACCCTGTAAGTGGCAATGCACCCTAGTTTATTACTTTACCCTGTCTAACGCCAGGCGATTTTACTCGTCAGGGGTTAGGGACGGACCATATATCAATGGGTTAGGGACGGACCATTAGAAAATGGGGGGGGGGGGCGAAAAAATGAATACAAGCATAAAAGGTAAAAAATAAAAAACATGCAACAGGAACATCTCAAAACAAAATTGTAACAATCTGAAAAAAATTGCAAATATGGAAAAAATAACCCCCCCCCCCTCCCTCCTTCACCTTTCTAATGGTCTGTAAACCCCAATTTTAAGGCTTTAAAATTGGGGTTTACAAAATATTGATTTAATATTGAGTATTAACCCTGCTTTCTAGTTTCTAGACTAGTATGTGTAATCGATAGCAATAAATAAAGCAGAAACATGTGCTACTGCCACGAATAACGCTTCACAATAGCATAGTAGACTGTAGAGATCGTATTACACAAAGCCATGCCACATTGTCTGATTTTCATGTGCTTGTAGTTTTAATATACTAGGCAATGTGTTCAGACAACTAGGTAAAATAATACAGTTGTCAGTATTGACAGTAGTATAAAGTGTCTGATTAATATTATAAAGTGTCTGATTAATATAGAGGCATGAAGCCATAAAAAATATAAACAAACTGAAACTGCCTGTATTAAGCCGCAGTATTTATGTAAATTGATTGAAATATTATGTAAATTTCGTCTGTTTATTATACGTGTACGGCGTACCCGCCGGCGATTTTATACGGACAGATGCTCAATCTACAACAGCTAAATATTTTCTCTCGAGCGTACTTCGGGATGTAAGATTCCGCACCAAAATTGTGTGCGAGGAAGAAACTTGTGTTGTTCACAGCGCTCAATAAGTCCTCAATAGAACGCTTGGGTACACCGTCTATTCACTTCTTTAGATCAGCTTCAATATCGTCTTTCTCTAAAGCAGCCTTTAAGGTCTTGTAAATACTGACAGACATGGCTAGCATGCATTACTTCAGAACTTCTGATAAATTTTCCAATTGACTTTGATTGAACCTTTGTGATCAAGTAGCGATCAGAAAGGGCCAGAAACACAGCCAGAAACGTCATAGACCTTTCCATGCATACTATAGCATGATCGATCAGAAAAATCCAGGAATTCAGAATTTTTTTGAATTAGCTAATCGCATAGCCTGTATTCTAGCCCCTGATCACCAAAGCGATCAGAACTCCCCACAGATCGCGCAAAAATCGACATAGCCAAATCAGATGGCTGGAATCTGACCCAAAGTGTGCAAAACTCAGGCGCAAGACTGCTTTGCTGCGCGTTCATGTTTGAAGGCCTTGCTACTGGATGATATTTCAGAATCTGGACTGTTAACTTTCAATACAATACACTGCGCAAAGTTTGATAACTGGACTGCTATTTTATTTAACAATTTTCTAGCTGCCCAGCTAGAAAATTGTTAAATAAAATAGCAGTCCAGTTATCAAACTTCGTGCAGTGTATTGTATTGAACGTTAACAGTCCAGATTCTGAAATATCATCCAGTAGCAAGGCCTTCAAACATGAACGTGTGATCGCTTTGATCACCCCTAGATCCGCCTCTGGTATATATCCTACTCTGTGTTAAATAAACGCAGAAATTTGAGTGTAAGGCAAATACTAATGCAATATTTTATGATCAATTACCTGTATTGTAAATTGCACCATTCCTTGCTTTCCCAGTCGGTCGATATGTTTTTATCTGATACTGTAGACTTCTCTTGTTTGATTGCGAAGAGTGTTGGCCAGTATAACGCTCAAAAACGACATATTTTCAGCTAACATAACACGCACACAATATAATTTTCTCTCTGGTGCTACCCATCTAAAGACGTCACAAAGTTCGAGAAAATTTTGGGAAAATATTTTCCAAGATGGCGGCAAAACACAAAGTTTGCATGCATTTTTCTCATATACTAAAATGGTCGAGAAGGAAATTATAATATTTTCATAGTTTTCATCATTCTTGTATTGATCTCTGAACAAAAGCATTTATGTTAGAAAGCAGAATGTCAATGTAATCAGGAGGCTGGGTGGGGATTTTGTAATTAGCATTGTTTGTAATTAGCAAGATGTTTGTAAAATTTTTGTTTAAAATTAACTCTTAATGGGTAAAACCAAAATGTTTAAGTATTTTAACTGATAACATCTTAACCTTCTATGAACACTACATTTGATGACAGCTATGTAGTTGGATTGTTGTTTTGAACAGAGTTACAGAAATACAGAAATGCAATTCAATATCTCCTTAGAACATTAGCTTCCTTTGATATCCTTCCTTCCTTATATAATGTTTTGACTATTACACCATGTTATACAATGATTGTTTTACTGTATAAATGTTTTTGTGACAAATGGCTTAGAATATCCATATGAATTATAATTATAAAATAACATGTATATAACATGTGCTCTGATTGGTCGAAACCTGTGTTTGGATCAGGCCATCCAAACACGGAAGACTATTGTGTTGTAGTTGTTTTATAAAACAATTACTTTATGGTTCTGTGTTTGGATGGTCTGATCTGAACACTTGGAAATGTTGCTTGAGTTCAGAAAAGCTCACAACATTCCCACGTGTTTGGATCAGGCCATCCAAACACAGAACCATAAAGTAATTGCATAATAAATGCACAAATTTGGTATTTAAATATGTACTATTTGACATACCAGATGAGGATAAGTTGCCATCTTGATAGATGAGAATTTCACAAGAGAATAGGGAGAAAACAAGACAGTCAATTTAAGATAAAATCAAGATATTTCTGAAGCCAAAATTGGCCAACACAATATAAACACCTGAATAACTAATCTTGGTATAGGCTAACCCATGCCCGTTCGCAGTGCTATAGGCACTTTAATAATAATAATAATCACCTCTAGAATGGCAGCAAACCGCAATAGATATATGCCACATATGCATTAATAATTTTTTACCGTTTAGCAATCTTGATGATCTTAGCTTTAATTTCACTTGCAGAAATTATAGTCGGATACCCAGTGAAAAAGGGGTATACATAAAGTGCGAGCCATGCCGATTTTGTGAGCCACCACAGATCGGTGCGAGTCACACGATGTGTGCGAGCCATGCAATGTGTGCAATAAATAAATGTAAGAAATTGGTCATGACCAAATGGTACTTCTTAATATCTACAGGACATAATAAACAACTTGCGTGCTAGACTTATTTGAGATCTAAGTAAAAAAGTAACTTCCCGTAAAGAACTTGTTAAAACCAGTGAAAATGCAAAGTTTGGTTAGTGCGAATTGTTGTAGAATACGGAAGGTGTAGCCTTGCGGAGTTTGCATGCATGTTTTGTATATGTTACAATGTTGTATTTGCCAAAAATGCTAACAATTTCCGCACGTAATACAAACATATGCAAGGCTTGCAAACTTTGCAGGACTGTGTTTACCAGGTTTTGCAACATTTTGCAGCCGAATTTTGCGATTTTCATTATGTTCTTTTTAGCTGTGGTATTTGATTCCCTTCTCTTTCCTTGGGTTAAAATTTGGTCTAACATGCAGGTTGTCCATTAGATCTTAAAACACCTTATAATTTGTAATTGAGTTATTTGAGTTATAAAATTCCTGTAATTGAAATTGGGTTCTTGATTATGTTTATATTTTGTTTCTGAAGTTTGTCTATTATTTTACTAATATAGTAATATACTCTTACATTTCACTCGTTAACCATTTTAAATAATTTTAAATACGATTCGCATGGCTCGAACCTTGGCTCGCGTGGGTTGCATTCTGGCGCATGGCTCGCACCTTGGCTTGCACCTTTGCTTGCATGGCTCGCACTCTGGCGCATGGCTCGCACCCTGGCTCGCACAATATTGAAACTTGTGAAAAAGATATGGATAGACTAATGCAACGATACTGATAATAATTTATCCTTCAATTTAGATGCCATGATCTGTAATTATTATCTTCCAAATGACATTTCAACTAATTATATTCACCACAATCAATTTTCAATATTAAATCTAAATGTAAGAAACATATCAAATAAGGTTGATTTGTTCAAACATTTAATAAAATTGATAAATAAACCTTTTCCTGTAATAGGCTTAACAGAAACATATCTAAATGACCAAAACTGTAAAGATTTTACATTGCACGATTATCAATTTGTTAGCATGAACAGAACTAAGGGACGGACCATTTGATTTTTCATGGGGGGGGGGCGCATTTTTGAGAGTGCTCGATTTTTTTTTGGACCTCACCGACTCCGCACGATCTTTTTTTATCGAATCTTGCCGCGTGCACGATATTTTTTTAAATTTTACCATAGCGTTAATACAATAATAACCACGTATGGTTATATTCCGGCTGAAGAATGTATTTGAATATACAGCATATAACCACAAAATAGGAAAGTATAGCAGAAGTGTAACCCACAGAAATTTTAACTCGCTCACGCCATCCTGGCTAGTACAGCCGGAAGTTTTTATCATGTCTTGATAGGTACAAAGTGCCGGTTGTACTAGCCAGGATGGCGTGATTGATGACGAATCGCTTGTAAAAACGCGGACAAATACTTGCTTGAGTGGGACTTGTGGTATACCTTCCTATTCTATGATATAACTATCACAGCCCATTTTATACTTGGCCCATTTATACGGGGCTATGGTCTACGAAATGTAGGATCAAGTGTATTAAAGTGTGTAACCCATTTTGCATTGGCGTAATGGCATCTATATACAAATTCTCACGGTTCCCAATCGTATCAGTGTTCCCAATACGTATTATAAACTGCGATTTTTATTCAGAATCAGAGAGCGATATTAATGAGCCGGGTGGGAAAGGGTATTTTTGTGACCCGTGAATGCAGTGGCGTAGCCATAGGCATAAGCCTTTTTAGGGGGGTCCGGGGGCATTCTCCCCCGGGAAAATTTTGAAATCTGGAGTCCCTCAATGGCGATTTCCCGTGTTTCTGGGGAGAGATTTTGCATAATTCTGAAGATTATTTACGGCAGGAAAGACCTGATTTTTAATGATTTCTCAATAATGTGGATCCTTAATTTGACTCAACAAAGCTTACTTGGTCGCGTGTGAATAGTTAAATCAAAGTTTTAAAACGCATTTTAACCAATAACCACCATAGGCATTATTTTCTGTAGTTAGATTTAGGAAAGATTAGAACTTTTATAGACAATTTGGTGAACAGATGAGATTGGTAGTCACATGGGTAGTCATTGTCCCCCCCCCCCCAATTTCTACCCGGATTTCATCTTTTTACAAGGGCAGTCCCTCAGCCTATTGGGGGTGGGGGCTGAGCCCCCCCCCCTGTCTACGCTACTGCGTGAATGGTCAATATTTGATCGTGTGAAATGCTTGATTTTACTGTCATGATCTGTGATTTGTTCTACAGCCGTGAGGCGTGATTGTCGATAAAAATGCTCCGTGAAATGGGAATTAAAGATGTCTGTTTCGTGAACTGTGATTTTGATTTGTTTATTCCGATCTATTTTATAATAGTGATAATGGACATAATACGCGATAATAATTTATATGATCGATCTCACTCGATTGCACAAGAGTAGAAACTTCGGAGGCCTTTCGGAGATCGTCCTACGTACTCATCACTCAAACTTGTAAGTAGTTTTTAACTGCCAGGCAGAGAAGAGAACTTAAAGCGTAGTACTGTACCATGCATTAAACATAATCTTAAAGCTATTATTATTATATTATTTTTATTAGAGTCTCGTTATCCGTGAAATGTGAAATTGCTTTTTTATGGCACGTGAATTGTGAAACTTTTTTTTTGTTGTGAAACGTGAATCATACCCCTCCCCCCCTTTCCCACCCTCATTAATCGATGTCGTATTTACAGAAGTGTGGGACTTTCAGTGTTAAGATTGGGGTTTTTAGGGATACCATTAAGGTAATTTGTGGATAATTGAATTATTGAAGTCAAAGTTGTCAGAACTGGTTTGTATCGGTTTGTATTTTGCATGTATTGCATGTATACCAA